GGCTGAGCGGGGGGCCACCGCGCACTCTCCCTGTGCCCCTTTCTCACCGTGCATGCCATCCACGCCGGGGCTGCCCACCTCCCCACGGGGACCAGGCACTCCTGAGGCAAGCAGGAGGGGGACAAGGTCACCTCTAAGCCACTGTCACCAGCATGGCACCCTGCCATCCAAACCCCCTGCCCAGCCCCAATCCCACTGGGGTTACAAGCCTCCCACGGGATGCAGGTGGGATGCAGGGAATACCCACCATGGCCAGTGCTCTGCCTGGGGAAGCAGGACAAGCCAAGAGGGCTAGGTGCATGTGATAACCCCGTGCAGCAGCAACAGAGAGTTGGAGAAACCCCAGCTCAGGCACCAGGGTGGGCATGATGCAGCTCATGATTCGGCTTGGTGGTCCCTCCTAAAGCGGGGGGTGGAAGAGAGGGATGGCAGTGGGGATGGGGAGAAATGCAGCTTTGTCAGTGACAGAGAGCACAGGGTCACCACAGGCAAGACTGGAGGGGTGGTGGTGGCATAAAGGGGCAGTTTGCAGGATTTGCTCTCAGTTTGGCAATGTTGGGCTGTGCCAGCATGCAGGGCTCACCCCCTGGCATGAGGGCCTTCCCCACAGGCAGGGCAGAGCAGGTCCCTCTCCGCAGCTAGGATGTCTCCTTTCTTACCAGGAGGACCCATCTCGCCCTTCTCCCCTGGCATCCCCATTGCCCCGTCCCGGCCGTCTCGTCCGTCTCTGCCCGGCAGACCCTGGCCCCCATGCAGGCCTGGGGTCCCTGGGATGCCTGGCTGCCCTGAGCACAGCCCAGGGATCTTGTTGTCTTCGATCTGCAAGGAGCTGGCGATGAGCCCAAGGAGGAAGAGGAGGAAGAGCTGCTTCATCTCGTCTGTCGTGGAGGGGCTGGAAGGGGGCAGAGAGGGGTAAATGGCTCCGGGGACCTCAGTGAAGAGGGCTGGGAAACAGGCTTGCAGTGCCTGGCAGGGAGTGGCTGCGGGGGACCGTTCCTCCCTCCTTTCCCCCTTGCCTTTTTGGCTGCTCCCACAGCAAGGCCTGGCTGCT